CACGAAAGCTTATGCTCAAATAAATTTGTTAGTCTCTAAGGTGCCACAAGTACTCCTATTCTTTTTATGGACACAGACTAACACAGCTGCTATTCTGAAACAATTTGATGTGTACCCCAATATTCAATATTGATCATAAAAAAAACCCCTGGAATTATGCAAATCCCTTAGAATCTCAACTTGCATAGAATCATAGCATATCAAGGTTGGAAGGGACCTAAGGAGGTCATCTAGTCCAACCCCCTGCTCAAAGCAAGACCAACCCCCAGATTTTTACCCCAGTTCCCTAAATGGCTCCCTTAAGGATTGAACTCACAACCCTGGGTTTAGCAGGCAGCCAATGCTCAAACCACTGATCTATCCCTCCCTCTTTAAAACTTTCGTTTTAAGAAGTCTATTTCTAGCCCTCCAGAAAAGAGTTTGAAAATGGGAACCCTGAAGGTTCACAACTCAGAAGACAGATGGGAACAGAACTCCCCCAGAGACATTTAGAGCTCGTGACTTTTAAGCCAGTCTTCTGATGGGGGGGGAGGGGAGACGCAGGAATGGACATTTGAACGCGTGGGGATGACAACGCTGCAGGTGGAGCAGCCCGAGTTTCCGCCAGGCCTTGCCGCGCTCTTTCGCTCGCCAGGATCCGAGTCCCCCGCGGCCTTTCGCCACTTTCCTGCTATTTCATTTCACCCCCGGGGGGGAGCCGGGTGGGTCTCGGGCCCTGCGCTGGAAGGGCGGGGGGGAGTTGCGGAGCGAGCCCGTCCCGCGCTCACCGCACAGCGGCGGCTGCTGTCGCGCGGGCCGGGCCGGGCTCCCTGCTTGGGACGCCGGGACCGGGGGGCGGGGCGCAGCCCCGCTCGGGTTAACTGGCCTCGACGGCCCCGTCGTGGTGACCGAGGGCGGCCGGGCCCCATGCGAGTGAGCGGCACCGAGGCGGCGGAAGAACAAACCCAGCGCCCGAAGGGGCCGCTCCCACCCCCCTTTACCTGGCTCGGGCCAGCCGCCTCCGTCTCATAAGCGTCTCTTCCCGGGTCCAATCAGCATCCGACGCGTCATCACTGAGGGACGTAAGAGATCCTTGTCGCGAGGACGGGGGTAAAGGTGGCTGCGCCGTTGCCATAGAGAAGCGACCCTCCCGGCGCGGTGCATTCTGGGTCTTGTAGTTCGTGCTGATCCAGGTTTCCGTGCGCCCCGTCCAATGGGGAACTCCGTTTCCCACAAGGCTCCTCTCCCCCCGTGTGGCTGAGGCGGGGTGGGGGTGAGGATGCTGCTTCTGTCCGAGCCTTGGTAATGGCCTTCCCAGCGCCAAGGTCCCAGCTCTATCGCTGGCAGCGCCTCACCACCGCGGCCAGGCCCAAGGTAACGGAGGGGGAGTGTCAACCCCCCCCGTGTCCCCAGCGCCCAATCCCGGAGCCTGCCCGGGGGCTCTCGCGGGGGTCACCAGCAAACCCATGGGGCGCCCCGGTCACCAGCGCCCAATCGTGTTCCACCCTGGGGTCACCAGCGCCCAATCAGGGGGCTCCCGGGGTCACTGTCAGCCCCATGTGGGGCGCCCTGGCCAGCGCCTGCCAATCAGGGGGCTGCTCCCCCTGCCACCCGGGGTCAGTGCTGCTCAGCAGAGGAATCTCGGGGGCAGGCAACTGGGGCCCCTTGGGATCCCTGCCCCCGGCCTTCCTGTGGCGGGTCACGCCCCAGGGTCTATGGAGGCCAAAGCCAGGAGGTGCCCCCTGGGCTTAGCTTTACCCAACTAGGGCATGTGGCCAAGCCCAGGCCTCCAGAAATCACGAGACTGGCTTAAAAATCATGAGATTTATTTTAATAGTAACAAATGTGGGTTTATTTTTCTTTGCCTTCGGGTTTCTGAGTGTTTGGGTTCACTGCAGTCATGTTTTCAAGCTTTTTTTGGCCACCATTAGGACTGGAATCCCTCATGTTTTTTAAATGAGAGCAGAGATTCCTGTATAATCACTTGACTCCAGGAGCTGGGGCTTTAAGAAAAACATGAAATATAGTGAGGCATGTGATAACATCTCAGGAGTTGGCAACACTGTCAGCCCCAAACCAATGACACGGTGGATTTTAAAAAACAAGTAGGGCAATTTTTAACTGGCAGTATTATTACTGTTATTGTTATTTGAATTATAGAGGCCCTTTCCAACCAAGATCAAAGTCCCATTGTCCTAGATGTTGCGCAGTCCCTGCTGCAAAGAGTTAACAGTGTAAATAGACAATACAGACAAAGGGTGGGATAAAAAGAAATATCTCCATTTTACAGATGGGAAACTGAGGCAAAGAGTGATTAGTTTCCAACCCTGCAAAGGTTTACAAATATACTTAATTTTAAGCATGTGAGTAGTGCCAGTGAAGTCCATAGGAAATCTGTGGCAGAGCCTGGAATTGAATCAAGATCTTAAGTCCTCATCCAGTGCTTTAACCACAAGACCGCTTGATTCAGAAATGAATGAGAAACATGGGGAGTTGTTTGAGGATGGGAGTAATATTTCTGGAGAAAGAGCACAGGCTTTTTCATTGTACTCAAGTGACTGGCTCTAGGCCTGGAAACATTAAAATGAGAGTTAAAAGTGAGCAAAAAAGTATTTTGAAGTTAACATTTTGCATCTTATTTCCAGCCAAATTTTGACTCTGGTAATGTGGAGCACTGGATCAAGGTAAGGTCATTTGCAAATGAACTTGTGAAACAGAACAGTAATTGAGTCAGGGAACATGCAGGCTCAGTGGGATGGAAGTGGGACAGAAAGCCTTTCAGTCTTATGTTTGCATCCAGTTCAGGTTGACTGTGACAAAATGTTGGTACCATCTGATAACTGGTGGATTGATGGATTCTAGGGAGTAAATTGATGGGTGTCTGGTTTCCCTATGTCTACAACAGGGGTTGGCAACCTTTCAGAAGTGGTGTGCCAGGTCTTCATTTATTCACTCTAATTTAAGGTTTCACGTGCCGGTAATACATTTAGAAGGTCTTTTTCTATAAGTCTATATTATATAACTAAACTATTGTATGTAAAGTAAACAAGGTTTTCAAAATGTTTAAGAAGCGTCATTTAAAATTAAATTAAAATGCTGATCTTATGCCACAAGCCTGCTCAGCCCACATCCAGCCTGGGGTTCTGTTCACCTAGGCCGGCAGAGGGCTGATCAGGGCCTGCGGCCGGGACCCCAGATCTGGGGGTGGGGGTCAGGGGTTAGGGCAGAGGGCTGGGGATGCAGGGCAGAAGGCTGGGGTGCTCCCAGCCCCCTGCCCTGGGCGGCTCATGGCAGGGGGCTGGAAGGGATATGCCCTGTTCCACCCCCTTCCCCCAGGCTCCATCCCTACCTCTCTCTGTGTCTTCTACGGAGCTGTGTGCACGCTGCCGCTCTTCCCCCTCCCCCTCGCTAGGGCCATCAGCTGATTGGCGCAGGGAAGGAGAGGGGTAGGGCTGGAAAGCACCACACTGGGGGAAGAAGCGGGGGAGGGGGGAAGCTTGGCTGCCGCAGAACCAAGCTTCTGCCTCCTGTCCCTGAGAGCAGTGGGCGGGGGGCTGAGTGGAGCTGGGGGCCGGGACCGCGGCAGTGAGCTGCGTGCCACTCAAAATCAGCTCACGTGCCGTAGGTTGCCGACCCCTGGTCTACAACATGCGTCTGCCACCACAGCTGGTAATCATCAACATACTAATGACTATAACTTAATTATGTATGAATCAAGTATCTTCAGACATGTCAAATGTAATAAGTCCATGAGGAATGTGAAGTTTCAAAAGAAAGCAAATTTTTGTGGCAGTCCATATTCCTTTTTGTTGTGATCCTGTTAGTACTTGGTTGAACCAGTGAGTACTTGGATAAGATGCATCCAGAAAAAATTAGCTAACTGCAGAATGTGGTTTTCATGATTCAGTAGATGATACTGTTCATTTAGAGCCCATACTATGCCAATGTCTGGCAAGATGCACAAGGTCTCTATGCTACTGGTGGTGCCTTCTTTTGTGTGAAATGTAAATTTGAGGTCCAGACTACTAGTGATTGTTAAAAAATCTTGTGAAACTGTTTGCAAGACTGGGTGTTAAACTCAAGTATCCTGGCCAAATTCCAGTTTGGCAATTACATTCTGCTTCCCTGCATTTTCCCAGCAGTTAGGCCTGCTTACAGTATTCTGTACATCCTATCCTGCACTGTTGTGAAGTGTCAGTGTGGGTTGTCAAACAGCTGCCACATTCCAGGTGACAGCAGTTGCATGCAGGTGACAGCACTTGCATGATAAGAGCTCCCCTTAACATTTTGGCATGGGCTTATAAAACACGGATCTGTCTGCCCCAGCCCTACTTATAACACATCTCTGTTCCCTGTTATCACCCTGCTATGCTAAGAGTCAGCCTGAGAATTTGGGGGAGGGATTTCATGATTGCTTAGGACATGCTTTGTTATAAAAAGCATGTGTGAGTGTGTTTAGGTCCTTCTGCTATAGAAGTGACACCCCATTGTGCTTGTTTCCTCAATCCTATTGATTGATTTAGCATTGAAAACATATCTTCACGAGGTCTAGAAATGCATTATTTTAAAAAACAAAAGCTGAAATTTTCTGCTACCGTTTTAGCTCCTCTAACACAGAAGGGCCTGCAGCTTGGGGTCAGTGGAGGCCTGGGGTCAGTGGGGGCCTTTGGCCAGCTCAAACCCCAGAGTGTGAAATGTTCCTTAGATACAATCTGTAAAGCCCTTTGTCCTTTTTCAGGGTGAAAGGTGCTATACTGATTCAAGACTAACTATTCATTTTCAGTGATCTGAGCATCAGAAATTTTATGTAATCCTTCTCTCCCCCCCCATTATTTATCTTAAAAACAACCAAATGGGATGTGCCTAAATCTATCTCTGTCCCAAACAAATCCACCACAGCCTCTGGCCTGAAAACAAACCTCAGAAATTTCCACCCCATGGGGTAACATTTTTGGAAAGTTATAAGCACCTAAGGACAGGATCTGATCACGTAAGCGCTATCTCAGCCTTATCAATAGCATCATGCCCATGACACTGTAGTAATGCTTTGGGCTCCAGTCCTATATGGATTAATCTTATTTCATGCAGCTCCCTCTGAAGTCAGTGGTGCTCTGCACACATGCAGGGGTCCACTCCTCCAGAGTATCTTACAGGATCAGGACCTGGAATCTGTAGCGTTTGAAACTGAATATGCGCAAGTTATAAGAAATGTTTTTCTTCCCTTATTTATTTTAAAGCGAGTGGAACAAGCCTCCGAGTTTGCTGTTTCTGAAGCTTTTTCCCTTAAAAAGTCAGCTTATCCTCAAAGGCCACGTGTTCCTGTGGTGGATCTGGAAACAGTAGAGCAGCTGCAGGATCATGATGAGGCTTATGCAGAAGGTGAGTTTGAATAGCACTAGCCCAGAGCTGCTGAAAGGAACCCTATGAAATCCAACTGGGCCAATGGGTAGATTTGTGTATCACCAGTCTTTTTCAAAACCTGAGACCAAATAGAAATATTTCATAATATGGGTTAGATTTGAGCTCGTTAATCTAGAGCAGAAAGGCCTAATGAAAATCAATGGCTGGAAGCTGAAGTCAGACAATTTCAAATTAGAAATTCACATTTTTGACAGGGAGGCTGATTAACCATTGAAACAAACTACCAAGGGAAGTGGTGGATTCTCCCTGAAGTCTTCAAATCAAGACCAGATGCCTTTTTGGAAGATATGCTTTAGTCAAACACATGCTATTGAGATCCATACATGAATAACGGGCTGAAATTTTGTGTTATACAGGAGGTGGGACTAGATGACCTAAATGATCTCTTAAAATCTATGAATAATTTTATTTGATTTTTCATTCCCATTCTTTTTTCCCCAAAATAAATAAATGTTCCTTGTGCAATGTTGCATCCCAAACCCTGCAGAACTACAAATCTGAAACTTAAATGTCTATAAGCAAAAGGGAAACTGTCTTCAATTATTTCTGCTGTCCAAAGTGAAGGAAATGCAAAAGTTAAACTGAGAGTAAAAAGAGTTGGAAGCAAATTGGATTTTTATAAATATTTATTATTTTGCAGCACCTAAAAATGTGCTAGGCACAGTACTGAACAAATAGAAAGATAAGGTCTCAGAGTTCTCATTCTAATAAATTCAGAGTCAGTTCTTTCACTTGCAATAATATGAGGCACTATTAATAGCACAGATGAATAAATCTGTGTACACTCTGATTTCTGTATATAATGTCAAATGTCTCTCACAGATGGAGCAAACTCTCTGCAAGTGTCTAAAATATGAAAGATGCCTTCTTTTTTTCTTCCCCTGCCTTGTGTCTTCTTTTTACATATAGTAATCCGAGTGTTCCAGAACTGCCTGTAAGTCTTTTATCTATGCACCACAATTATAATACATAAGAATATTGATTATCCGCAGTCACCCCACCATGTTAAGAAACATACTGATAAGGAAAGTGTTAAAGCTCACTTACTCCAAATATGAGGAGTCTGCACTCTCTTGTCCAAGAATGACACAGCCTCAATAAAATAAACTGACTTCTGTTTTTCTTATTGAATAAACTTTGTTATTGTTGTTGTTAAACTGGGCTAATTATAAACTGAAAGTTAGGATAAAAGGACTTGAAAGGGATTAAAAAGCCTGAGTACTTGTGTCTTTTTTGTTTTTTGAACTTTTATAGAGTGTTTAAAGAAGCCTACAAAAGGAAATTTTTGGTGGTGGTGTTCTTTGTTTTTTTAAAAGGTTGCTTATATTTTTTCTTAGAAATATGTGGAATGCTAAATTATATCCTCCATCATTTTTATTGTACTTAGTTGCAGTACCAGAGAGACTTGGAGTGAGTGCTTTCTTAGTTCTTAATTAAAGGTGTAGGGTTTTGTATTAAAAAAAAAAAAAAGCTTTTCTTCCAACTGTTTGTCAGGCATTTGAGTTAACTAAGTATTAGCAAAAAAAACATGGCCTCATTCCTACTACCAGACTTACATATGGTTTTAGTTTTATGCCCATATGTAGTCCTGTTGAGGCTACATGTACATATTTGCAGGATCAGGGCCTGAGTGAAAAACGAAACGTTTTAAGGAGTCAGTTAAACAAAAACAAAAAACACTTCATCTATCAATCAGGTATCACCTTATTGGTATCCAGGATGTCATGATCTTAATAGTTCTCTTGTTGTCCGGAGAGTCTTGCAGGAAAAACAGACTAGACAATTTCTAATGCATATAACACAAAGAGAAATAAAAAAACCCTCCACCTTTCAAGCCTACTCACATATCAAGAATGGGAGAGGTGGGAAAGCACCAACCCAATGAGTTTTTCGTTTACAGATCACCCTTCAGTCATTTTAAACAAACTGCATAGCACATTGCATAACGATCCTAAGAGGACAGCGTTTTGCCGTCCTACACTTACTGTGATATTTCTAATCCTAGTAAAACCCTTGATCCCTTTCTCGCTGTAGCCCAGGAGCTGCTCAATGATTGGATGAATTCCAAACTGAGACTGGAGCTAGAAAGTGACCAAGAAGAGAATGTTGGAGATGCTGCTGCTGACTCTACCCCTGCTGAAGAGGCCCCTGCTGGCTTTCTGAAGTACGAGAGGTTTGATGGTGAGAGCACAACAAAACGTTTCTTATCCTCAAACAGTCTTTAAAAATAAGTTAACAGTGGTTAGTTCATAGGCTTGAAAGCCAGGAGTCATGTACATACCAAAGTAATAGTCTCCTTAGGAACAACCAGGGTCAGTAGAGCCCTTGGTTTTTCCCAGCTCTGACATTTTAACTTGCTGTGTGACATTACAGAAATAAGCCTAAAACTCTTTGTGCTTCATTTTCTCCTTATGTAAAATGGAGATAATATTTCCCTAAATCAGAAGGGCTATAAGGCTTGTAAGATTTGTGCAACAGTTTGAGATCCTCAGATGCAGGGCAGTAAAGATTGGGAAAGTATCATCATCATCATCTAAACATAGTGAATTTGAGACTGCTTTAGATTCTTGAGGCTAAATGGAGTGCAAGCAATATGGCTTCTTTCATCAGGATTACATTCACAAGCTGGGCAGTTTTCTGTTTAATCAGTTTATGCTTGATGGCGTTAGGCTCTGGGGTTTGTTAATTACAAACTAGTGTGAGATGATCTGGATTCTTTGTTATAGATTTGTGTGGTTATCTGGAAAAAGAAATGGAAAGTACCACTGTTCAGGATTTTCTGCAGCATCTTCTGCAAAATGAAGTGGTAGATAGTGGGATATTGGAAGACCTCAGGATTGAAGAAATCAAGGAAAAGAAAAAAACAAGGGACCCACGAATTACCATGGAGCTAAGACACAAGCAGGTGAGGAAAAGGCAGTACATTGAAACTGATGAGAGGAAACACTCTTTTTATGTAACATATTAACTTGTGGAACTCATTGCCACATGATATAATTGATGCAAACAGATTAGGACAGTTCTCAAAAGGTTTAGGCATTTCTGTGAGTGAGGATAGCATTTGCACTAGCTCAGGGCTGTAATATCCATTTCCAACATGGATCTGTGCACTCCAGGAATGGACAGCAAGTGACTGTTCTTTGCTAGCCTCCCTGTTCAAGTCAGGAGTAAGCAGAGTGCTAATTGCATCTCCCTATTCAGTAACCAACCTCTTAAGCATTAAGGTCTAATCCTGCTGTTAGTACTCATCTCACATACCTGGGCAAATGGGTGGGGGAAGAAATCCTTTACCCAGGCTGCAAAGTGGCTATGTAGCTGTTCTACTGGGCAATTTTAGCCTATTTGCTGAAGTGTCTCTCTATGCTGCCATTTACCTGGCCCTTTTATGACAGTGCACACAGAGGACCGCACAGCGTGGGGCTCTGTTCTACATATGGGATGCTGCTTTCACATCACCCTACCTCTAATCCAGCCCTCCATTTGAACTGTGGAGCACTGATGTAGGGTCTGGGCCCTAGAAATCATATGCAACTTATACAGTTGTCCTGTAGGCTTAGTACAAGAGATTCACAGATAGCTACAGTGTCCATCATACTCTGATTTCAGTCATTTTTGGGGGTGGGGGGAGGAAATGTTCAGTCATTTCTGATGCTGTCTCAAAACCAGATGATTTTTAATGCTTCACCTTGCAATGGCATCAAAGGGAGTCCGTCCTACAGTTTTAAACCTCCTGTGCTCTGGGGTTGTGTGCCCCAGTTACTGGTCTGGTGGCCTTTGTTGTGCTTCTGCCACCATCTATTTCAAATTGTGCTTGCTCTGAAAGGCCATCTACATTCTGCTTATGCTTTAAAAAAATTTTTAAAATGAGAGGGTAGCACTGGTGGAAGCTACAAGACTGATAGCCCCAAATGCTGATGTCTTCATAAATCCACAGAAGAGTGTACACCACAGGCAGCAGGGCAAGCTTTCCCCACCAAAACACCTCAATCCTGCCCTAGGAGTTCCTTAGCAGTGTTCGGCTCTCGATTTCTGGACGTAGAATCCAGAAGGAACCATTGTGATCATCTAGTCTGATCTCCTGTCTAACACAGGTCATAGGACTTCTCTGAATGAATTCCTGCTTCAAGTCCAATAGCTGTGCTTAAACTAGAGCACATCTTTTAGAAAAACATCCAGTCGTGATTTAAAAGTTTCCTGTAGTGGAGAGTTCAACACACCTCTGGAAACACGTTCCAGTGGTTAATTACCCTGACTGTTAAAAATGTGTGCCTTATTTCTAGTCTGAGTTTGTGTAGCTTCGACTCAGATCGCATTAGCCCTTTGGGCCACAGCAACACCCTGAGAGCTCATGTTCCCACCATGACCCCCAAGTTATAGCAGCATCTGCGAGTAAAGCTTTCTACCGTCTCTGCTGGATTAGCAAGCTCCGTTCCATGCTGGTGGATGAAGACCTGGTCTCAGTTTTTCATGCCTCTGTCACTTCACAGCTGGATGACACTAATGCAGTATAACTGGGCTTGAAGCCTCAGCCCATAGGAAACTCCAACTAGTACAGAACGCTGCAGCACATCTCCTTAGCACACAGGCTACTGCGAGCAAATCAAGCCTGTCTCCCTCCTCTCTCTACGCTGACTTCCCATAGACTCTTGAATCAAGTGCAAGGACTCAGTCCTCATCTTCAAAGCACTCCATGGCCTGGGCCCAGGATATCTAAAAAATCGTCTAACACTTTGGGACGATTACCCTGGTCAACAACTACACTCCTCTGGCACAATGGAACTCTCAAGACCAAAAGTAAAGTTTGTCGGCGTGGGAGACAGAACTTTCTCTGGGTCTGAGACTGTTGAATGGACTCACCCAGGAACTAAGAACTATCGCAAACTTCACCACTTTCTGCTCCAAGTACAAGGTGTAGTTCTTTGACCTTGCCTTCTCTAATATAAACACATAGCAATGGGTACATTTAATTAAAAAAAAAACATTATACCAGAACAAGACACTTCACTGCACACGCATTTTCCCCCAGGGGAGAGGATGACAGAAGTGAAGTCATGTTGCTTAATGCACAACTGGAAGGTGCTCAGATGTTATGGCAATGAATGCAGTATAAAAACCTATATAGACTAGAATAAAAGTCTTTTTTTGAGTACCTACTTACCGGGATAGAATCCCCACATCCTACAAATATGACCTCCGCTCTGTTTCTTGGTATGTGACCTTACATTTGGATATATTAAAATGTGTTTGCTTGTGCCCAGCTATCCAAATAGCTCTATAGCTGTGGCCCATCCTCTTCATTATTTACCATTCTGCCAGTTTGTGTATTAATCTGCAAATTTATCAGTAATGATTTGATGTTTTCTTTTAGGTCATTGATAAGAGTGTTAAATAGCGTAGGGTGAAGAACCAATTGATGCAGGACTCCACTAGAAACACCTGCTCAATGATGAACCCTGCTTACAGTTACCTTTTAGGCACATTTTAAGTCATTTAATGGGTGCCATATTGATTTTGCACTTTTCTGTTTTCTTAATTAAAATGTCATATGGTACCAAGTAAAAGGCCTTACAGAAGTCGAAGTATATTACACTAGGGGGCTCACACTCTGTCTGTAGGTCGACCTTATTGCACACCACAGACTCCCCTTGCATGCCTCCATTCTGTCCCACAAGCTCCCTGAGTGCCACCTTCCCATCCCCCCTCTATTTCAGGGACTCCCTGACACCCTCTACCCTTCCTTGCCCCCACACCAGGCCCTCCATTCCCCCACCATGCCAGGGGCTCTCGGGTTCCAGCTGCAGGGCTGTTTAATTGCAGGATAGACTTTCTGGCTGGGGTTGCAGCCCAACCTCTGGGACCTGCACTGCAATTAAACAGCCCCTTAGGCTGAGCCCAAGTCAGCTGGCACAGGCTAGCCATGGATGTCTAATTGCAGTGAAAATATACACTGTGTATCTCTCCTTTTTTTCCTTCCCAAAGTACCTTTCTTCCTCCCAGAATGGAAGGGATGGGTGCTCAGCTGCTGTCTTCCCCACCCCATGGAGCAGGCTTTGAGGAGGCTGGAAGGAAGTCTCCTTTTCTTTCCTCTCCCTCTGGCTGAGCATCCATCCCAAAGCTGTTCCACAGCTCTCAGCAGGGAGAGTAGTTATTTCTCAAGGTGTCAGCATGTTAAATTCTCTTGGGAGGACAGGCAGAGTTGAGATGGGGTGGTGTGATGCAGGAAGCTGTTGTTTGATATATAGACAATTGCAGAGGTGCTTGAAGCTGTGGCTGTGCTAAAGAGATGGTAGGGGCTCCATATGTCTTCCATTTCCCCCTTTTTGGTTTTCCTGATTTTCCTTCAGAAGCAGTAGGGTTCTGCCCATAGATGCCTAGAACACTTGTATAAATTTTGGAATTGATCATTATTGCATTACATATATGCAAACACAGAAATGTCATTAAGTTGAGTGCAGTGTTGTAGCTGTGTTGGTCCCAGAATATTAGAGAGACAAGGTGTGTGACAAGGTTTATTGGACCAACTTCTATTGATGAGAAGTTGAGCTTATACAGAGCTCTATTGAGCTTACACAGAGCTCTTCTTCAGGTCTGAGCTCTGTGTAAGTGCGAAAGTTTGCCCCTCTCACCAACAGAAGTTGGTTCAAAAAAATATTGCCTCACCCATCTTGTCTCTCTCAAGAAATTGAGTGTACGGCCTCACAAGCTCTGCCCGTCAATACAACTACCTTTATCAACCAAACTTGTAACTCTCCAGGGTGATCAAGTTAATTTGACAAGATCTGTTTTGCATAAACCCATGTTGATTGGCATGAATGATATTACTCTCTTAACACTTTATTAATTGAGTCCCATATCAACCATTCCATTACTTTGCCTGGAATAGGTGTCAGGCTGACAAGCCTATAATTAGTCAGGTCATTACGTTTACCCTTTTTAAATATTGGCACAACGTTCGTTTTCTTCCAGTTCTCTTAAACTACTCCAGATTTCTATGACTTATTAAAAATCAACATTAAAGATCCAGAAAGTTCCTCAAACTTGGATGCAAGTTATCTTATGTTGTATCATATTCCTTATGTTTCTGATATACTTAAAAATATTCTTTACTATCCTTAACTGCTAATATGCCATAGATTTCGCTGTGTATACTTTTGCTTCCCTTACCAATTTTCTACAGTTCTTAGCCTTTAATGTGTTATATTCATTTCTGTCAACTTCTCCTTTTTTCCATTTGTTGCATGTAGTATCTCTTTATTGCTGCTTTCATTTTCCCTCAAAGTCAAATGAGGCTTTTTGGGCATCTGGTAGAGTGGTCTGAGGCAGTTCCTGTTATCATGCACTGTTTTCTGTTTAAATTCTTCCTCCCAGCTGACTTGTTTCATAATTGTTTTCAGCTTTCTGAAATTGGTCCTATTAAAGCACCAAATGTGTGTGTGTGTATGTGTATAAGTAATCCCAGAGTATCCACGCAGAGGTCACTCAATTAGGGTGAACTGCAAAGAATGGGCAAGACAATTCCCAAAGCGGGTGGATATTCCAATACTTAGATTTACCAAACCAGCACAAAACAGCTTCTATAATACCTTACTGGTTACCCAGAAACAAACAGCTCAGTTCCCTTAAAGCAACCCAGCCTCAGGCATCCATCCAGACACCCAAGTCAAATATGATGAGGATTACTGAAAATCTTATTCATCATATAAGAAAGTTCTACCAATCCCAAAAGATAGGACACATTACCTCCCAGGTTAATTAATATTCCAGATCTTACCCAAATACACGCTTACAGCCAATTCTTATTAACTAAACTAAAATTTATTAAAAAAGAAGAGAGTATTGGTTAAAAGATCAATATACATACAGACATGAGTACAATTCTGAGATCAGTTTCATAGTAGAGATGGTGAGCTTTGTAGTTGCAAAGAGTTCTTTCAGAATTAGTCCATAGGTTATAGTCCAATGTTCATATTCAGGGTGAACCAGATTAGGACTGGAGATCTCAGCTTTTTGGCTTAAGCATCCCCTGCATGAAGCCTCAAGCAGATCTGAGATAAAAAGGATCAGGACCTAAGGGATCTTTATACAGTTCCAGGCTTTCTCTTGACAGGTCGGAGTCCTTAGGCGAACAATAGGCAATCATGGAGACTTTGAAACCCATTTCCTAAGCATCGCCGGTAATTAGCTGCATGGATTAACATAAGGCAATTACTTGTTTTCCACCATTCGCAGGTGATTTGCTATACATTTCAAAGAGAGATGAATACAGCGATACCCTATGTTTTCAGTTCATTTAAATGTTAAGATTTCCTTTTGATCTCTGAATTAACAGAATACATCATAGACAGGGACTGTTTGATCACATTGTTAACCTCCAACAATATATATGTAAACACACAAAAACACAAACATTATCTACCAATATGTTCCTAAAGCTTGAACCTGGGTCAAATAGCCTGCAAGCTGCTTAACACTTTCTGGCCATGTGTCACATTTTGTATAAGATCTGTTGCAATTATATAACAGTGGTAGCAACAATGATTTGAATGGTCATGCTCTAATCAGATAATGTCACAGTGTATATATACAGACATATACACACACTACTGGTTGGGATTTTACTCTGTGAACACAAGTGTAATCAAATTATGATCACTTGCACCTAAGCAATAACTAATTTTCACTAGATCTGTTCAGAATTTGACTCCTTTGACAAGACTACCAACAAGGGAGATCGTGACACTGATTCAGATATTTGATTACATCAGTTTTATACTGGTATAACTCCACTGACTTCAGAAGCATTAATCCTGATCCCCCGTGACAGAGGTGCCATCCCTGTAACCCTCTTATGACATGATATGGTGCTGCAGCCGTTCTGCTTCAGTTTCCCCAACAGAGTTTAGCACTCTTCAGTTAAGGATGTGGCTTAGCCCTACAGCCAAGTCACTGAGGGAGTTTTAACACTTTCCAGGGTGGCAGAGTCCTCAAGTCAAAGTCCAACATAAATACAAACCAAAAGAACCTTCAGCCCATTGGGCTCAGCATACAGCCCCATTGCTTTCAGGCTGACCCCAGCTGCAGCAGCTTGCCTTAATGCCCAAAGAGGATGGATCTGCACTGTTCTCAGTGGTAGCAGATGACAGAATAAGGAGTAATAGTCTCAAGTTGCAGTGGGGGAGGTTTAGGTTGGATATTAGGAAAAACTTTTTCACTAGGAGGGTGGTGAAGCACTGGAATGGGTTACCTAGGGAGGTGGTGGAATCTCCTTCCTTAGAGGTTTTTAAGGTCAGGCTTGACGAAGCCCTGGCTGGGATGATTTAGTTGGGGATTGGTCCTGCTTTGAGCAGGGGGTTGGACTAGATGACCTCCTGAGGTCCCTTCCAACCCTGATATTCTATGATTCTATGTTTAAATCACAGTCAGGTTCAGGCCTATCCTCCCACAGGGAAGCTCTAGCAGACCATAGCCTCCAATCAGCTCTTGGCTACAACCAGGCTTCTCACACAATACAGAAGCTGCCATTCTGCTTCTCTCTTTTTAACTCCTCTTTCCAGGCCTGACTCAAGAAGAAGTATAGCAGGGCGGGGTTCACTGTAGACACTGCAGCTTGTTAACCCCTTCCTGGCCAGTATGGGGTTCACATACCCCATCCCACTCCCCCAATAGTGTGCCTAAGAACACAATCATATCCAATGCCAAATCTAGAGATGATAGCTTCTTTATTATTATCATCATCATCACACCCCAGAAGCCCCAGCCAGGGACCAGGACCCCACTGTGCTAGGTACTGTACAAACACTGAACAAACAGACAATCCGTGCCCCACAGAACTTACAGTCTAAGTGTAGGACAAGAGATTGGAAATGGACCAATCAATGGGGGAGTACAATGAAAGAAAGATTTTGTGTGGTGTGGCCATCTGTGTATTGGCAACCTGATTGAGATCCACCCTCTCAGTTCAAAGAGACTCCCAGAAGCCTTTCTTCAGATGATATAACTCTTGTCACTACCGCTGCCTTGACTCATTGCTGTGTCTTGATTCCCAGGTTAAAGAAAACTGTTTAAGGCGTCAGAAGGAGCTAGAGCACCAGAGACGCGAAAAGACCCTGAAAAAATTAGCCCTGGCTGAGGCCAAGCAGCGAGTGCAGGAGGAGAACAAAAGGCAGGCGCTGAAGGCCAGGAAGGAGGAGGAGGAGATCCAGCGGGAGATGGTGAAGCTGCGGAAGGAGATGGCAGAGAAGAGGCACATCATGGGAGAAGCACGAAGAATGTAAGATGGGGTGGGGAGGGAGAGTGGAACTCAAGCTCCATCTAGTCATTTGGGCTACAGGGCCTATGAACCCCAAATGATAGGGAATTTCTTCAGTCATCAGCTTCTGGCTGCAGTGAGCTCTCTAAAAATAGAAGACAGGGTAGTCTCAAAGGAAAACTGCCTCCTGGGGCCCTGACCTCTCATAACGTATATATTTTTAAATGACTAATCCTGGAGGCAGCGTCATTACTGTCTCTAGTTACATTACTGTCTCTAGTTACATCACAGAAGCTGACAGATTGAAAGAAGGAATCAAATGCCGACATCTATCAACTTGTACACGTCAAAACTCTGGCATTTAAAATTGGAGACATCCTCTCTTTAGAGAGTGGAAAGAACGTGCCTGTCCGATGGAGCTCAAAGCTGTGCAGAGGCAGAGTCTTTGCTTCTGCTGCGCTTAGGAGCTCCATAGGGCTCATACCTTCCACAGTGCTGCAGTCCCCAGGGGGCACTGCGATGGCCACTTATCTCCATAGGCATCTATGAGATCCTAGTTCTCCATATGTGCTTTCTTGACATCCCAATTCCCTCTTACTGCTGTGTACTGGAACCCCTTCCTGACTGTGTTGAATTTGTGTAGCTCATGGGCACTGGGCACCCAAATCCCAATGCTACCCCTGTTCTCTATAAAGGCTGGGCTTCAGTAGCTATCATCTGTCAAAGCTACAGAGGTCATTCTCACAGGATTGGTTCGGAAGGGGGTGAGACCCATACTGAAGTACTCCCTTTATTTACTGTCTACCTTTGGTTCTTGGTGTTTGTCTTACTTGCAGAGAGAGGAAGAGGCAAGAATTAGAAAAAGCTCAGAAATTGGCAGCAGTGGGCCTGTCTCACACTACACCAAAGCCCCTGAAGCAGGAGAAAGAGGAGAAACAAAGGAGATTGCAAGAGCTGCTGAGCAAGATTCACAGTGAAAACCAGAGAGTGAGCATCCTCCTCCTGTATTTAGCACTCTGAGCCAAATTCTGCCCTCAGCTATGTGCTCACGCAACTCTCACTGAAGTCAAAAGCCCTGGCTGCCAGGCCTTCTGCCTCCTCCTGAGTGTCCTGTGTAGGGAGAGTAAGATAAAAGATCCATTGAGAGAGAAAGTAGAGAATGGCTTGGGGAACTGTTTCCTAGTGGTTAGAACAGGGAACTGGGAGCAAGGGACTCCTGAATCCTAATCCTTATTCTATTGCTGGGTGTCCACGGGCAAGTCACTTAATGTCTCTCAGTTTCTCCAGTGGGGCTTCAAAGGGAGTTGTGGGTAAAACTTCGCTGTTGGAGCAGTTGTGGGCAGAGAGCAGCCCAGTGTGATAGATCAAGCAGACACACAGAGGGTGCCTTGAAAAACTCATGTTGAGATCCCCACCCCCAGTCCAGCCCTTCAGCATCAAGTAAAAGGTCTGGACTGGTATAAAGGGGCCCTAAAAGACCCACTTCTGCTATAAGCACTGTGGAGCCAGCTATAGGGCTGCCCTTTGAGGACTCCCTCATTCCTTGGCATAGGAAAGGGTGGGAGCAGGCTGAGGCAGGCCAGGGGGTGGGGCCACAGCATGTGCGGTTGTGGAGATTCCATGAAGCACTGTGGCCCCTTGGGGAAGCTCCAAGAGCAGTGGTGGGCAACCTGTAGCACGCGAGCCGCACGTGGCCCATCTGGGTAATCTGATTGCAGGCCACGAGACATTTTGCTGACGACCGTCTGCAGCTACGGCCCCTCGCAGCTTCCAGTGGCCATGGTTCGCTGTTGGACATATGCCCTGAGCACTTTCTCCCACCCCTCATAATTCAGAAAAATAATCCAGGACAGGAATGTTGACTGGCCATGAAGTTTCAGGTTTCCTGCAATGGCACATAATAAACCTGTCTCCTCACTTCTTAATGTCAAGTTATAGTTTTAGGTGATGCAACTTGGTTAAAACATCCAATAGGAAACAATCTGTCTTACAGACTTGCCTGCCGAGACCAAATACACTTTGTCTCATGAAACACAGATGTAGGCACAGGAACTTCTATATGTTTCCCCAGACATTTCCCTTGCCGTTTCTGCTAACTGTCAAAGACAGAGTTTGCAGAGTGGAAGGGAAAGTCTCAAACAGCAAGACAAAGTCTGTGCTAAAAATTTAGGTTTATTAAACATGTGGAAATGAAAAGACCCTTTTGTATTAAACACCCTATAGAGTGAGAAAACATTGTAAGGAATAAGGTTCCTCGTGTGGCAGCATGAATGACCCCATAATATATTTTTAATTAATATAGAAGGAATCATCACTTACATCATATATACCTGTAGCACATTTAATACAGAAGAATCCCATAGCACTCAAGTTGAGAAGCCAGCTATCCCAAAGGATCACTTTGTCTATAACTCAAATGCTACTGCTGCTGGAGGGAATGTGCACAGCAACATTACACCACAATTTAAGACAGGGAGCGAAGAGTCCAAATGAAACTACAGGGGGATTTATGACTGGTATAATCTGAGCTGTACATTTTCAAGGGCAGAAACTACAGCTGAGCAGAGATAATCAATAATGAATCCTTCATTATTAACTTAAGTAGCTAGCGTGTTGACATTTTGTCCTCTTCATAATTCTCTGTTTGGATTTCCATGTCTGAGAATGTTGATGCAATTAATACAGTACATTATGCCAGAAGAGGAACAGCTGAGGAATTGTTATGAGCTGACCCACTTGGAGGATCAAAATGAACAGCATCTCCAGTGACAGGGCTAGAATTAAGAGGTAGATTAGATAGCAAATTGCTCTTCTGTCCAAGGTAAATCACTCCTAGAGGTAGCCAGTATGATTACTCCTTGGGAGAAAACTTTAGCTTCCCAGTGATGACAGTGAGTCTAGGTCACATTGTAAATTTTAGCACTGGGAATTGTCTTGTTTGTGCTTGATCTTTAAAGAGCAGCTTATAGTTTATGGAGTAATTTGAAAAAGTTCTACATAGAGGGCAGTCTTCTCTAGAATCTTATGCTTTCTAGATTTAAGGACAATCCTGATTCTAGAATTTATATTTCTCTCTCATGGTTTATTCCTTTTTACTTGTAAATTGAGCACATTTTGCTTTGGAGTCACCATGAAACAATAAACATGGAGTCCCATGATGCTATTTTTACAGTCAGTTTTCACAGTAGAACTGCACAATAAGCATTGCTCTCTTCACATTAGTTCTCCACCCTCCGGAAGTGTTTGCTGTGGGGGTTTGAAGATATAAGGTTATTCAAAAGGAAAGGCCAAGAGAAGGATTGTGAGGATCAGCATTTGTGTGGTGAAATGTTCTTGCTCACTGGCTCTATACACCTTTTCACTGCAGTGCCTACAGCAGCATTTCTCCGCTTGGTACAAATTCATTCTGGATCATAGGATTAAAATGGGGAAAGCCAGGGCGCTTGCTGACTGGAAGTGCCAGCTGAAGGCCCTGCGAGCCTGGAGGGACTATACATGGGTCCAGAAGTTGAAGCAAGAGACTGAGCAGTTGGAGACTCATCTCAGGGATCAAAACAGGTAGTGGCCCTTAGCCTATGGAATGCCTCCTTCTCACACAGAAGCTAGCAGCCTTCAAACAGAGTCTAGTGCTAAGCGGAGGGTTGTGAAATGGTATGGTCTGTTTATGAGCGTGTGGAAAGCCTTGTTTCTAGTAAATCTACACGTCACCTGCAGTTGGAGACACCATGGCATAGACTGAAACAAAGCTGGATCTGAGCAGGGACTTTAACACCTCATTCCAACAACCTCCAGTTTCTCTGTTTGGGTGTCCTTCGTGGAACCTCCTTCATTGGCTCACTCTTTCCTCCAGGCCCCAAGCACATGAAGAGCCAAATTCATCCCTGATTAATCCATTCATCGATTGGAGTTACATCAGCGATTAGTTAGGCCTGATACCTTCAAGAAGGAGCTCGCTGATTGGACTCCCCATAGACAGCAGCATATTCTGCAAGTGGGGCTATCCCTCACCTCCAGACAGCTGGAGAGGGCAACAGTATATCCCTTTTACTCCTCTTATAGCACAAAGATAAGAATGGATGGGGACTGTAAAACAAGCAGGAAAATATTTTTAGAATTATATTTAAAGAATTATATTTAAATAGTTGATGGTTTTCAAAGTCTTCCAGAATCAAGTGATATCAAGCAGAACTCAGAAAAATATGAAATCTTATGACCTGTTCTGGATTGCTCCACCCATTTGGTAAATGCCACCTCCTGGAGAGACAGTGTGGCCTAATGGATAGAGCACTGGGATGGGACTCAGGAGACCTGGGTTTTTAGGCCCAGCTCTGCCACTAGCCTGCTGGGTGTCCTTGGGCAAGTCACTTCAGGTCTTGGTGTCTCCATTTCCCCATCTTTAAAATGGGGATAATGACACTCAGTTCCTTTGTAAAGCCCTTGGAGATCCACTGATGAGAAGTGCTAGATAAGAGCGGGGTATATTAATTTTAAGCAGGCTAGGAGAGAGGCCTGTTCAATGTCTGTTGTTAATGGAAGTGCTTTATTTTCCAGGAAAAAACAGTTGGCTATTGAGCATAATCGGAAACAGGTTTTACGGAGCTGCTTTATAGAGTGGCAGCTCTGGAGCCGAGCCGAGGCTGAAAAGAGAGAGCTACAATTGAGACAGGAGGAAACTAGGAAGAAGATGGCACAGCTGCTGGAGGCAGCATCAGGGGGGAAACTTGGCACAGACGGATCATGGGATGTCGGCAGGACCAGGATGAGACAGGTGACCCAGAATAAATCTGTGAGGCAAGAGGAGGTAAATTTCTTTCCCATATGGTTCCTCATCCCAGTCCCTCCCACAGTGATTAATCATAGCTCTAAAAGTTAACCTCTGTGGTGTTTTATGACACAGGAATGGGCACTCTCCTAGTGCAGCTTCATGCACCTGCGATGTCACGTGCACATTCCAGCAGTAGTTCAGGCACTCTAGAAACAAGTCTTTAAAGATCAGAGGTGGATGGGAAGGTAGTAGACTTTAAAAAAATAAATCCGCCTCTAGTGCTTTCAAAGTATAATCCCACCATATATTGGCTACCAAATTGAGGCATGCGCCCTCGGGATCTCTTTTGAAGGGAGATTAAAGTCACTTTTTTTTTTTAAATGACTCAATATGCCAAAGAACCATATAGGTTGACTAAAACCAGGGTATTAGAAGAAAGTGCTCAATTCTGCCCTTGGTTAAACAGAGTGCAACCCTCTCAACTTTAAAGAATGCGAGAGCTGAATTTGGCCCAGGAAGTGTCCAGGTAATGCACATCAAAGAAAAGAATAAGTGTGTGCACAATTGGATTGTAAACTGTCGGGCAGGACCATCTTCCTTAGGTGTGTATCGTTCCTAGTATAATAGGGCCCTGATACTTGATTGGGGCCTCTAGGTGCTACCATAATATAGAAAAAAAATGAATATATACTCCCGTCAGGCCAGAGTTTTCCTTCACTTACACCAGTGTAACTTCTGAGCTCAGTGGGGTTGAATGGGGATAAGTGAAAGCAAAATTCCCCAGTTCCATCTTTGCAACCCCAGTGGGACAGTTTCTTCACTGAGATACACCATTCTAATGGGAGCATCATGTTTGCTAATTGAGGGCAGAATTTGGCCTAGGAAGTAGATCTGAGTCTCAAGTATTCCCTAATCATACAATTCTAAGAGGGAAGGCCACGTGTCTTAAAGTTTGGGCCTGGTTTGTCACTATGCTCTAATTCTATGACCGTGTAACTACTTTAATTTCAGTGCAGCTCTGTGGTGTAAAGCCAGAGTAGTATCATAGTGAATCAGTCCCTTTTACGTTTTCCTTAATTAGCCAGATAGATTGGTCCTGTAGACCACCTTGTCGCAGCTGTGTTTCTTTTAATCTTAGCCTTAATGCCTAATCAGAACACCTCCGTCCAAATAAGATGGCATTAACGTTGTTTGGGTTTAGACCCTCTCACTGAATTAATATCCCCTGTGTCATCAACTGCATTACAAAAATTCTGAGCCACAAGGCCTCCCCACAAGAATCCTGTCTGATGCCCCAGGAGTACATACCAGCCATAAACCAGATGGACTTGGCCAGTTCAGGAGTCTTGGATGGTGTAGAGCTACCTTGTAGCTTCTGTACCTCCTCCCACCCTGGGACAGCGCTACTGTTGGTAAGAATTGTATCGAGAGTACACACCTGAGGTTACCCTGCCTCTCAGACTGATTTCACGGTTGCTCCATTCAGGAAAATGCTCCTAGCTCTTCAAGGGCAGCAGAGGGCTTGACTTCAGTCAGTGCAGAATCCTTCCCTTGCAGGTGACTGAAACGCCCCTTCTTCAGGAGGAGCCCATCAATCCTGTAGAACCCTGTTGTCGGGGTGCTGGTCAGACCCCCAGTCTTCGTTCATGCAAGAAGCCCAAGTATGCCTGGCAGGTTACCCTACAACATGCTGCTGTGAATTCACAGGATCACGCCGAATCCAGTAATCAAACAGTCAGTCCCATACAATGGTTTGGGGCACCTGGCAAAAAAGTGGCCCCTGCCTTCAGGGCCACTTTGAGCACCGCCATGCCTTCCAGCAGCAGCTGATTGAGGAGCAGAGGAGGCAGCTTCAAGAACAGCAGGAGGTGATCCTCGAACTGCAGGGAAACCAGCGGCTGAGGAGGGCTAAGCAAGAGGCGGAGCAAGCCACAGCTGTCACCATGGCACTCAACAATCCAGTCCCAAAAACTAAGGAAAAAATGCTGAAGAGAGGGGCTCCGTCAAGCTGCAAGAGTGTGTCATCTTTAAGGTACAGCCACCTTACTGAGCCATAGTGTGGGTGGACTGTACTATCCAGAGCACCTTACTCCTGTTCACAAGCTGAACAAGGTCATTTGGGTCAGCACTTGCATGGTAGACCTCCATGTAATGCCTCTGTGCAGCTGAAAGTGGTGTTAATGGTGCACTAGGTGTTGCTCTTCCTTTTGAGCCAGTCCCAAGCCTGGTGTTAGCTGGGCCAGATCCTTGATGCTGCTCTGACTGTTTTGCATTGCCCCAAAGGCATGTTAAACTTGTAAGGCACCTTGGGATGCCAAATGCTCTATTGTTGTTAAAGATAGGAGCAAAGTGGATTTATTTAGTACAACAACACTATCAGTACTTTGTGCTTCTGTAACATCCTTCAGCCAAGGATCTTAAAACACTTCACAGGCGCTAATTACTTGAGTCTCACAACCCTCTTGTGATGTAGGAATATGTCATTAACCCTGTTTTACAGATGGGGAAACTGGGACCGAGAGAGGCTGCGTGATTTCCCCAAGGTCACACAATGAGACTGCAGCAAAACAGAGAATAGAAACCATGAATCCCGACTCTCACCCTTGATTATTATACACAAGGCCTCCTTGCTATGGAAGGTGATGATACTAGTTTCTTTCTTCTTTCACTTCACAGTTCACCTGTGCCTTTGGAGCCAGAGAGCACAAAGACAGTGACCCAAAGCAGGAGGAGCTCAAATCTGCTGACCTCAGCTCATCCCATACTGAAAGGTATCGTTCTGCTTGGTAGTAAAGGCCATTCCTGCCCTCTTCCCAGAGAATAGATCTCTTTCCTGTCCACATCCCTCCTCCATATGGGTGTTCAACAGTGCATGAGCAAAACCCACTCAATTCCCTCCCAGCAGGATCAAAGCTACTAAACAACAACAGGATGGGTTGCTTTAAGCGTGCACTGGCAGCTTGTTACAGGGTCTGGCCCTTTAATATCCAAGTCAGGCATTTGGAGCATATGGGTCCTTGCAAGTTCTGTGGTTTGTGGTCAGTAAACCAAAGTGAGTTGTTGTCCCCAAAGACCATGCTCGATTTTTCCACAAGAAATTATAGAGCTGGCATCTTGTTCACTTCACACTTTCTCCCTTTCACTGCAGGCTATACCTGTAGAGACAAAAGCTATCTGGCTTCCCTTCCCATTTGCCATCCCATGTGATTTCACACCCTTCCCCCCTGCAGTCTATATCAAGTGGTGTGTAAATGTCATCAGAGATCAGGAGGTTGCATTTATTAAAGCAATATCAGGTTTCTTTAACCATTCCCAGGGCCTGTGCGTTGTATAAACTTAGGTAAGGCCTTAACCTGCTTGAAAGGTTTCCCAAAATGTAGCCATAGTAATATTTTAAACAGACCTAGGAATAACAGAAATACAGTAACATAGTTTTTTGGCTGTGGTGCCTGCCTGCAGCGTTTTCAGCACCCAAGTGTGTCTTCAGCATCTTTAGTGCATTAGCCTAGATATCCCACAGTTTGCTTCACTCAGGGTATGTCTACACTATGAGAGTAGTTCGATTTTACTTAAATCGAATATGTGGAATCGATATTACAAAGTCGAACGTGTGTATCCATACTAAGGCCTGGTCTGATAGGAGATGCCTTTGCTCTACACTCCTCAAAATGATGAGTTTTGTCCTAAGTACAAAAAGACAAAGTGTCCAAGGATGGGACTGAATAGATTCACTCTCTCTGTGGTAATTGAAAACGGACTTACAAGGCCGGGAGCAGAGAGAGAGAGAGAGAGTTGCCAGCATGACAATGAAGAGTCAATCGGGCATGGTCCCTAGGTTTTACTCTTCTATGCTCAGGCCAGCCACAGAAAACATACCTTGTCACCGCGTGGCTGGCACTTTAAAAGGAGATGGGTCTCAGCCAGGGCTTAATTTGTGCCTGGGCTGAGCCCCAGCACCGCTAGGCATCCCAGTTCATAGTCCCGGCACCTCGGGGCTGAGCAGTTCATAGCCCCGGCACCTCGGGGCTGGCTGCATCAGTTATACATGTAAAAAAATTGCTTGAGCCTCAGCACGTCTTTCATTATAAATTAAGCACTGGTCTCAGCCTCAGCTGTGACATGGCCAACTGTACTCCCCAGGTGGGGACATGTGACCGGTGGGTCATGTGATTCAATAAGGGCCTCTTGGATAAATGAGGGAGAGGCCTGGATAGAGAGGTGACCCAGAGGTAGCAGGGGAGAGAAACTTCATCAGTGGCCCAGCTGCTGAGAGCAGCTAGGCTCTTGCAGGGACCCTGAGAAACCAGGAAAGCAGCAGAGGGGTTTGCCTGATGACATCTTGGAGCCAGAGAATTGGACAAGGCAGGCAGAGGTCTGGGTAGGAAAAGCCTGGGAGTGGCTGCTTCAATTATTTTTGAGACCTTAAGGATGGTTTGAATTATTCTGAACTTTGTTAATAAACCAGACCCCAAGAAGGGCTGCTCTTATTGGACATGTGACAAGAGTCCAGGAGGGGAAACTGAGGCAGAGTGCCACAGAGCTGCCACAAGGGGGTGCTTAGGAGGCAGCTCTTGTTGCAACCCTCAAGAGCCAGCCTTTCCATCCTACAATGGCTGGGGCTGTTATCTCCCTTACCAATAAAAACTGGCAATACTCATCAGTCAGACTTTGACAACAGTCCCATGGGGAATTTTTTTCCCTTGATCCTTCTGTTTGGGTGCAGAGGTGCAATGCAATCTCCAAGAGACCTGGCTGGTGAGAGAGGTAAAATCCAAGGGTTCAGTCCTGGAGGCGTTACTCATGCAAGCCGCTTCCTTGGCTTACTCACAAGGACTTCAGGATGGAGCTCTTCATGTTATTCTGACTCTTGGGGTATGTGTACAGTTATTGAGATGCCCCCGCTTTTCACACGCCTTTTGTGAGATCAGTTGAAATGCAGCACTCTCATTGGTCAGCAGAGAGGGTGAAATCATCATCAAGGTGTCATAGTGCTCATGACCTCATCTCTCCTGTATGTTCTGTCAGAGCTAGTCTTTGCCCCTCAGTGTCAGAGTGAGGCAGTGACAGGTGCAGTCAACAACCAAAGGCAGTTCAGTCTTTTTATCACAAAGAAATTGCTTCCCCAGTTCTGCCAGGGATTTCCCAGCCAGGCGGTTTTGCTGTTAGAGATGGGCCCAAGTCAAATGGATCTGGATTTTGATCCCCTCCTTCAAAGACTTGCGGGGGTGGGGGGGGGGTTGGTTCAGCCGCATCTCTAGTTGATACAGTGATAACAACAGAGCAGGGCAGTGGGAACCATCAGAAAAGCATCTCATCTTCCAATAGGTAAGTGCAATGAGTCACTGGACTGTACTTAGCAGGAGTTAGCAGGGAGTGAGGGAGAGAAAGAAGAGGCTCACAGGTCTCCCTGAGATCTGACTAACTGATATACCCATAATAAACACTAGAGATGGGACTGGGGTGCTAAATTCAGATCCAGATTTCAAACACCGCAGTGTCTGAATCCTGGGTTTGGTTGGATTCATTATAGGGATTGGGGGCTGAGGGTGAACAGCTCTGAAATTCTGGTCCAGATCCTGGTTCAGATTCCAAACCTTCCCAGAGTTTGGGAGTCCTTTGATCTGTGAATTTGGTTCAGGCCCCTCCCCAGTTAGTACAGCCCGATACTGGCTGAAATGGGGCAGCTTGAGAGAAAGTAAGAGACACGGGTAATGACCGAGGTGTTAAATCTATGCAACACAGCACAGAAAGGACCCATGGGCTGAGGGGACTTGATGAGTGTTGATACATTTCTGCCAGGGAACAGAATAAAGAGCGAACAGGAATTATTCATGGCTTCACATGGTAGTAGGAGCAGTAGCAACGGCCAAAGCCAAAGAGGGGGAAACAGAGCTGAGACACTAGGGAAATATATTAACAGTGATAGGGATTGGTTATTGGAATAAACTAGCAGGGGCAGTTCCACCAGTGCAGAGATTCATGAACAGCCGAGGAAAGGCTTTAGCACAAATGGCATTTGGGTGGGATTTTTAATAGTCCCTAAGTGAGATAAGAGCATAATCAAAATCAATGGGACTTGTATCCCAGGGCACTTTTGCAGATCCCATCCATAGTCATTAAGCAGGCTTCAGACACGATGATCTATTGTCCATAACTCTTTATCAATGTTTTTCTCTCCTTTTCTCATGTATAGTTTTCTCTCTTTCATACAGTTCCTTTCCTATCTGTCTCTCCCTTC